GAGTTAGACCTTTCGGAATTAACAATTTGTCCCCGGCACTGCTCATCCCTCGGTATTGGGTGGCGTCGAGGATCGAATCTGACCCGAGTTCCTCCGCCAATCTCGAAGCACGGCGGACAAGCCCAAAAAAACGCAAAGGCAGAAAGAGGACTTGGCAAAAGTGCTTGTTATTTGATATGGAAGAAAATGGGAATTTTTATTCCAGTTGGTTCAGGTAAGTATACATCATTTTTCATCTTTTTCAACCAAACAGACCAGCTCTAAAACGGCGGTCCAATCTGACACTTCAATTAAAGCACTTTGTAAGCACTTTTCTTTTTTTTTTTTCTGACTTTTTCAATAATTAAGTAGCCGTGACGGTCGCAAATTCAATAGCCTTTGTTTATTTACGTGTTTCTTTTCCTTTCATTATTCTAACATTTTATATTAGTGATTGTAGCAGCAAAATGGTAAATTTAGAAGCCTTCAACGGATTCCTAAAATTACAGCTTTTTAAAGCAGATTCCCTGATGGCCTATAGATAGTTACAGGGAGACTCAGCCCCTAAAGGGTACCTTTATCAGGCTTCAGGTATATCAAAGGGTAGGGAATTGAAGAGTTGAAGTATATGAAAGGGCAGGAAAATCTATCATTTAAGTTTTTTAAAACAGGTTCCCTTACTTGTGTAAATTAAGACCGTAGTTGTTCAGAATAGTGATTATATCGTATCAGCAAAAACCTGTATTTTCCATCAATTCACTCAACAGGTATTTGTCGCAACTGCCGGGTTAATCTTGACATGCAGAAAATAGGGGAGCTGCCCACAAAGCTTCCGGAGACCAAGAACCTTTCTTACGAGGAAACTGAGACCATTGAGACTTCTCTAAGTTCTGAACTGGCACTCAATGGAAATAGTGTTATTAACAGTGACACCAAACAAGGCCCGCGGGGCAACAAAGATAAAAAAAAAAAAATGGATAGGGACCTTACCATCACAAAGTCTGCTTGAGCGGGCCCCGTTTCCTTGCTGCCTTTCTTAAAATGTAACGAATAAGGATAGAGAGCACAAATTAACCGATTTCGTAAACCTCAAACTGTGTGCTGGTATCCAAGAAAACAATGCCATATGCTTATTTTGTGCTTTCTACGTCAGTTTTTCCTGAGTTCCGCGGATAATGAAGAGGTTTTATACCCCGTGCATTTTATGTCGCCCTTGCGTCTGCACAAAGTTCTATTTTTATTCTCATCAAAATCTGAGAACTTGCAGCAGTGGCAACAAGTTAAAGACCACGTAGTCCGCGATGGTAAGCTGAGGCCAAATTGCTCTTTTAAGAATAAAGGGTTCATTTAAAAAAAACTGCATTTTTGCCCCAACCTACACACACGCATTCCTCCACTTTATACCGCTAGGGATACGAGTTCATGTGATTTTCTCAAGGTTAAAGATACGGTGAATAACGCCCAGAAAAACGTTTCGGGTTTCCAATATACCACTCCGGGTTCCTCTACCACTCGCTTTAAAGTTCGTACTTATTTGTCATAATGAAAGGTATTTTATGTAATAAATTAGGCACTTTTTATCATAAATGAAGGCAGCAAAAAAGGTTTTATTTTTAGTCCATAATAAAGGGAACAAAGATCAGGAGGGATTATTGATCTTTGTCTAAGTGTTGGTTAACTTTGATAATTATGTACCCAATTAATTTTTTTTTTTAATACAGTTTACGTTATATTTATTTTGCGTCCTTGTCTAGGGCGTGATGTGTAACCTTCGAATTGCTCCCAGTACTCCTTGTTCGGTGGTAGCACATGACTTACTAGAGCAAGAAACGTCATTATATTTACCATCAACCCTCCTAGAAGAAACCGAGACAAGCACTACAGGAATGAAGTCGGTAGAACCTATTGACCACCTTAACAGTTTCTTAAGAAGTCGAGACGTTAGTCCTATTAGGTACACCCTAAAGACAGCTTGGAACGATGCCAGTGGAAGGACCAGACGACTGCATAAGCGCAAAGCCAAGCAAGCGGTTTCAGCTGTTCTTAGTGAAACAGCGCCTAATGATCCAGATCTTCTCTGGGAATCTATTATGTCCTCAAAACAAAATGAAACTGAAAATCACACTTGTTCTAGTGGTTTGGATAAAGAATTGATGTACACGCTGGCAAACTGCTACAAAAATGCAAACGAAAGGGATTCTCGCAGGCAGATATTGTCCATAATGGCGGATAAGGTTAGCTTGGCAACAATTCAACAGTGAATCCCAGGCCTGACAAGTTATCGGTTTAAGGTCGCCAAGCAGCATGCTGCAGTCCATGGCAGTGGAAAACTGGTGCCTACCAATGCACAAACGAAGTCATTCATACCTGAAGCAAAATTAGCGCATTTCCTAGACTTTATCACAAGCTCCCATGTAATTCAAGATCTTCCATTTGGAGCCAAGACAATAACATTGTCAACTAACGAGGTATCCAAGTTCCAAATGTGGTACGGAACATGATACCTGAACGAATCGTTTGCCAGTACCAAAAATATTCTGCCGAGCATGATTTCACACCCATGAGTCGCAGTACACTGCTAGGAATTCTGCATGTTTGTTCCGCTTCGACTCGCAAGTCATTGCAAGGGTTAGATTACGTAAGCTGTTCTGGTGCGCAGGCATTTGAAGATCTTGCGAACGTTGTGCACCAGCTCGGGGAAAACGGAATGGGTCTTACATGGGCAAAAACACAAAAGGAAGCTTTAAAGGAGGCAAAGCGGTACCTCAAGACTGATTTCAGGGTAAAATAAGAAAGTGAAAAAGGGAAATAATTTTGTTGCGCGCCTGGCGTAGGTGTATTATTAATGTTACTCGACTGCCTACTACATGAGTGCTCTCTAATTGATTACTGCTCGCGTCTAGGTAGGTGAATAAGGGTGGATTCCCACTGTCGCGTAAATTTCACGTGCATACACACGTAGCTTTTAGGCGCGTAATTTAAATAGAGGCAATGTTTGAAAGGTCGCACGTAAACGTAAAAGTTGAGCGAGGTTTAGCTTTTACGTTTACTCGTGGCATTCCATTCGTTCTTCTATTTTATTCACACCCTTAACCCTATTTAGACCGGGAAGGGTTTGAAGGCCCCCTTTGCTTAAAAGTTGAATAACTTCAAAACCGCTCAAGCTTTGAGCACCAAACCTAGCGACTTTTCCTAAAAATCATCTGGGGACATTTTAAAGTCGTCGTGACTTGTACGTCAGCATTGACGTTACCATGGTAACCGAGTTTTGAGAGCCATATTTTCCAAAACTTGCTGTTTTACTCATTCAATTATACCTTACACTGTTCTCATACGCCGTCAAGAAATGCAGTGTTAATATTGTGATTCCGTGACTGGTCGACTCCCCAATATCACGTTTAGTCACGAAACAATTCGTCACGCGGAGTCTTTGGTCGATAGAGTTAAGTGTTTCAAAATGGCTAAAATTCACCCAGTTTGGCTTTTCTATCTCACTCTTTAAGTAAAAACGCAACTTTGCAACTGTAAAACCTACAAGGATTAAGAAAAATGAGTATTTGGGGATCAAATATCCACTTTCATGGATTTCGAAACTGGAAGTGTTTACACAATTACCGCCAACCCACCATGAAAATTCCTTAACTTCGATACCGCCTTATAGAGATTTCATTCAATAACCCAAGCTAATTCCCAGGTATGTTTTAGATGTATGTCTGAATGTGGGATTTAAATAGAATGAAGTCAATTTGGAGTTATACCACATGTGCAATATTGCCGTCGAAAATCAATAACAAAACGGAGTTTTTGTTATCCATAAAACCTATTCCTCATTTTTGAATAATTTCTGCTCGGTGAGTGTCGCTTTTGCTCTAAAAGAATCTTCTAGTAAAAGAAGAACAGTGATTCTGTTGAAATAAAGTGTCCAAATTTCTCCGTGCGACTTTGTTTGCGAACGAGAGGCAAGTTGATGTATGCAAATTTCACGTAAATGATTAGCCAATTTTGTGACTCCGACCACAAAAACCGATATTCTAATTTTTTTAAAAAAATAAAAAGCTTTTGGCGGGAACAATCCACATCAGGTATCTTATCCACCTAAAAGCTATTTATGGACAAAAAACGAAAGAAAGCGATTTTTCCACTCTTGCCACGAAATTAAGATTTTGGTCGATATTTCCTGACCATCGCTCTTAAATGTTGTTAATTTGCGACTATTACGTGTTCGTAAAATGTGCCCATTAAGCGTTCGTAAAATTTGCTAGTTGAGTGTTCATAAAATGCGCCCGTTAAGTGTTTGTGAATGCGATTGATTAGAGTTCGTAAAATGTGACTGTAAATTTTTCTTAAAATTTTCCAAAAGTGCACCCGTTGTGTTTTCGTAAAATGCGACCGTGAAGTGTTCTCAAAAATGGGACCATTAATCGTTCGTAAAATGCGACAGTTTAGTGCTCTAAAGTGCACGACCGTAGACTGTTCGTAACATGCATGATTTGAGAAGCGTCTGGTTGAATGCACGACTACAAAAAGTCCTTCAGATGCACGAGTTTGAATTACTCTTAAAATGCCGAATGTAAAGGGTTCTGGATGTAAGTTGCAGGGACAGAACAACTGAAAGATTGTCGTTGGAATTAAGATTGCAACAGTTCATGGGTGGCGATTAAACACAAAAAGCTCTTTAGTCAAAGCGAGAGGGAGCTAAATAACTCTAACCTCTGCTAGGCTCTCGGTTAATGGAAATGAGCAAAAGAACGAAATGGCGGGTTCATGCAGCCGCGACAGTCGTTCATGGCTCGCCCGCTATAGTTAGAGCCTAAAACAGGCTAAAATAACTCAAACTTATTAATCACTCAAAGGCAAAAATAACATGTTCATCAAAATTTATTGATGAGTTACTAGAACAAAACATAAATGTACAAAAGATTAGGCCCGGTGACTAAACAGCAACGTTATTATTTTTTTATTTACAAGTATAATAAAGCGAACAGCCGGTTCCCGCAACCGCCTTAGCTAACGCCTTTTACCGACATGTAGCTTCACTATTTCCATTTTTATGGTGATGACCTCCACCGATTTTCCTAAGTGCTCGCCCTCTTTGAGATGAATCCTGCAGGGAGCAATCTCCCTATAGGCCTCGATTTTCTGTTCATCAGTAAAGACAGCGAAGCTGTTGAAGGAAGAAAACAATATTTATTTTAATTCATTACTTTTTGGAACGTTTAACAACTGTGCCGCTATGCGTTATGAGGCATCCAGTGACCTAGGATTATTTTAGGGTATTGCGATTAACTGGTTTCCAAGACACAACATAACCAAGTTTCTCCTAAAAGGTTTTATGAGCCATTGGTCAGCTTTTTTATGATCTCTTTTAGCTCGGGTTTGTTTTCCTTCTTCCGGTTTTTCTTAGTTCAAAGCTTGGTTTGTAAGCAATTGGATATCCAGGTTCACCGAAACATTCGAAACACGGTTTTCAAGACATTCCATGACTCGGTTCTTAGGCGCTTTAACCTGATTTTCAAGTTTCACGCTATCTTGTACTGAGCGAAATAATTATTTTTCAGCCATCTGACAAGTCAGGAATACATTTCATTGTAGTGCCTATTCGAGGATGGTTACACGGTTTACACAGGAGATAATTCAGGTTAACTTAGCACTCTGTAAATTTTGGAAGGAAAAATTTATGACATGTTTTCACTTTCGATCTTCATCCAAATCCACATATTTCCCCAATCGTAAAATTCTAATTCAAAACAGTTACCTTGCTAGCAGTGAAATGGGATCCACCCCTTGGACGAAGTGGACCTGAAGATTCTTCCTGTCCTTGTCCAAAAGTAATTTCCACTTTCTATTAAACTTTAAGAAAATTGGTGACCCCAATGAGCCGTGCATGTCCGGCGGAATCCTCCAGGTGAAGATTGCTTTTTCTTCCCCTCTTATAGGTACGACGAGGAGATGATTCTGCGAAGGAAATAAATTCAATAAGGTTACATCCGGAAAAGAAATCAAAGCGTCGCAATTGTACTTAATAAAACTCCATTGTTGCGTCCGGATTTGACGGTTTGGGTTGGAATTAATAAAAAGCATCTTAACTTAACATAACTGCTTCCCACAAAGTCTTTGAACTTTCCTGCTCCATTAGGTCGAGATGGCGGGAAGTGGAGCAGCTGTCATGCGCCGCAATTTCTTCCCGGCGAAGATAAGTGTGACAGCCAGCTACCTGGCACGCGTTCATTACTTTTCCACAGGTAGCCATGTGGGCTGGAATCAAATATCTGCGTTTGAAAGGAGAGAATTTCAGTCAGAGTCAGCCAACCCCATATTAATTGATTTCGACCGTACAGAATCTCGTTAAAAACTAAAGAAAGAAACACGTAATTAAAAAAAACTATCGTAACTAGACCGGCAAACGGACATCTGGCAGATATTATATAACTGAGGGTTGCTTTCAACCAAATTCAATGAGAAACACACTTAGAGAAGATGTGGCAGATCGATCTTCGTGTCAAGCGTATCACGTAGAGTTAGTTGCAAATTTTAGAATGAAAATAATTACCAGTATATTCGTCGCTTTGTCGAGTTTGAAACACAGGAGTAAGTAAGTAAGCCACAGTTGACATGCACGATAGAGGCGAAGTTATAAATATGCCGCTATAATGGTTGTTTGTGTAATTCATTGACGTGGCGTTTAACTGACACCCAAAACTACTACCGGAAGAAAAAAGTTAATTGTTACATGATCGAAAAGATTTTAAATGAAAAAAGGTTTTAAATGTGTTCCTCATTCAGCCCCTCTAAAACCCTAAATTGTTTTGCGTTCAGCCCAACGGATTGGACGCCTGAAACGTGCGCGTCGAGTTTCTAATGAAATTCAGTGAGGCGTACGTCGCACTTGGCAAAAGTTCTGAAGTATGTTCTGCAGAACATCCATGACAATGACAAAGCGTGAGCTTTCAGGAGAAACATTTTGCACGAGCGAGGCCCACTACTGATAAATTTATGTAAACGCAATGGAAATGACGAGACCAGGTACCAGAATCTCCTGCCCGTGAAGACTTTCAACATGCTAAAAAAATTATAATAAAAAATGCAATTGCCAATGATATTATAGACGTCATCCGTCAAGACTTGAGTGCAAATTTCTCAAAATCAGTTTGTGCAAATGTCTCAAAACTACTGCGTTAGTCCAAAGTTATCGTGCTCAGATGAAAATTACAATCTTGTTCCGATTGCAAAACTAGGGTCACACTTGAAAATGGACTCGACAACAGTATTCTACAAGAAGATCAACAGATTCTCGCAAAAGTTTGCAAAGTATGAATCTTGTCCATCTGTTGAAATAATTTGTCCGAACCATCACTGAAGAGCGTTAGAGCCTTGTATCTCCTGTAGCGCTAAGAATTTTTAAGCTCAAGTTTGATCGCTTGACCAGTTTATTTGTTACCTTGTTCAACTAGTAAAGCTTTACGAAAAAGCTTTGACCCGTTTTGAACATTTACTACATTGAGCATTACTATCTGGCCTTTTCATGGTGGAAGTTAACCCCAGAGGGCAGGACAAGTCGACATAATCACAATCCGCTTTCAAATGTTGAGGTCTCTCTTTAAGGAGGAGTTGTTGCCCACAGGCACACCATATCTCTTCTTCTGGGCAGACTGACTTGTGCTGTAACGCATCTCCCCGCTTAAACTTGGCTGAGCACAAGCCACATTGCTGCTCGATTTCTTGGCAGTCGTGGATAACATGCTGCCTGATATCCTAGGGGGGCACATCCCTCTCACAGCCTAGGCACTTGGCTGTCATGCCTTGCATCATTTTAGCCGCAAACAAGTTTCTACAGAAACTTATTCTTGGCTGCCTGCACATATGGCAGTTACATGCCCCGTTTTCCACCATTCGTTCGGCGCAGTGACCGCAAACGGAATGACCACACGGGTCACATATTTTAGCATCGACCATTGGAAAAGTACTGCAACATGAATAAAGATAAATTAGGAATAACCATGCGACAACCATGACTTGAAAAGTTCGCGATACATACCAAATCTCACATAAAAATTCCTGCGGGAAACCGGTAAGGTCGATAAAATCAAAATAGTCTTGTGAAGACCACATCCTTAATTTTCTGATTGAACCTTGAGTTACGGAGCGCACACTTAACAATCTGTTCTGAGGTTCTGCCTACGCTGAATGACAACGCAACAATCTTCCTTTCCATGGATGCCTAATCAAAACACCGGAAATGGTTTAATGAATAGGGCATTTTAGTACGATTGAAGGCATTTTTGTTAGAAAAAAGATAGCGATCGCGACTTAAAGACCACACGAGTACTAACACCCAATGTGTGAAAGTCGGCCAAACCTCAGTGAATGTCCTCACAACATTTGGCTAGATCCGGACGCCTGTTGGCCTGTTTTTTTCCCTATTATTGCTAACTGTGAGAATTTTGTTCAAGATCACGACAATTTCTTTTTCGTGATATTCCATGATTAGCTTTGCTTGTGCACGTTGAATTTAAGGTCACCACTTTTACTCACGCGCAACTTTGTCGAAGGGGAAGCCATAGGAAAGGAGGGGAATAACTTGATTTGTTTCAATATGGAGCAAAACTATAGACGTGAGAAACGATTGCTAACGCTGACTTTTTTGTTTCAACATTTTAAGTAACAGATTTTATGTTCACATTTCATTTGTCTACAAGATCGCCACTGATCGCTCTCAGCTTATTGGCCCTACTTGCCGCCTGCAAATTCGTGAACAGAGCGTTTCGCGCCTCTTTTTTAACACTGTGATTGGATGGTGATTTCAACCACGAGCGACATCGTTAGTCATGCCAATGATACACAGAAGAGAGATAGGGAAAGATCTAATACTTGGATTAGGTTACAATTATTTCTTCGCGTATCACAAAACAAACAAACAAACAAAAACAAAAAAACAAAAGAGAAAAGAAAAAAGCAGGCAGGACTTTAAACAAGTCCGTGTTGAGTTGTTGCGGCGCAGTGACCTCATAGGGAATAACCACACTGGTCAGAGACCTTGGCCATCGACCCAACGGACAAGTAATGCAAAATTAAAAAATAGAATAGAAATGTAACATGAAAAAATTAAACACATACGTTAAGTTAATTTACGTTCAAGCAATAACCTCCTGGAACAACCATATATGGGAAAGGTCGCGATGCCTGCCGAATTTCACGTAAAAATTCCTTTGAAATATCGATGAGGTCGACTCAACGGAGGTAACGTTGTTCAGGCGACACGCTTGAGTATGTTGTTGTTGTTTCATTGCGAATGTAACTTTAAAATAAGTTTTCTTTTAAAACGTTTCGCCTCTATACCCTAAGCAAATAAGCTTTTCACGAAAGAGTTTATGAGTCTATCAAACTCGTGCACGTCGAAAGGAGCGCTCGCTTCAGAGGCGTTCTAGTAAAGGACTAGGAGCATGCCGATGGAGCAATCTGTCATTTAAGGCAACAAAAGATTTCGCGAAATTGAATCTTCGGTCCTAAAACACTTTTTTTTTCAATATGGATAGCTCAAACTTGTTTCGCAATTTTTAAAAAGTCACTTTTTGATGGAAGATAGCCGTCGCACCTTCAAATATGCTTTCTTGAAATTGAAGTCCAAAATGCTCGCGTACTTCACAACAGGCTGTCATAATTTATTTCTTTGCAAGTTTCTGAGAAGTCTCCCTTTTGTTAAATCTATATGCAAGAAACTCAAAAGCGACTTCGCTGACCCACACATTATGCCAGTCATTTGTACTTGGTGCGTCGCATAATGTTTTTTCTTCAAAGTTTCAAGTAACATTACATTTTACTTGAAAGTAAGTTGAGAGTCAACTTTAATTTTATACGTTATAAATTTCTTTTGACCTCACATACAGATAAGGTTTTTAGGAGAGGTAATTTCGCACTTCAGGGAAAAGAAAAACCCTCTCATTAGACGGAGATTCAACTCATGTCAACAACCGTCAGCTATAATCAATTCGCGTGTGCACTAAGTTCGTCAATTTCCTAAGGGAAAAACTCTTCGATTTGTTTTTTTGTTTTTTTGTTTTTTTTTGTTTTTAGTTATTGCATGGTGGAAACAAAGGAGAGAACACCATTTAATTTTTATTTGTTTTTTTTAGTTGTTTAGCGACCATGCTAAATGGTTTCGGTTTACGTTTTCCACATTTGATGCGTCGCCTTCGAGTTTTAAGTGAGAACATCAGAAATCATAGCAGTGATTGCTAGTTAGTAAGTTTCCGCCCGTTATCTTGACAGGCAATTCATGTCCTTGTCCACGGTAATACATTCAACATTTTCCGTTGGTCCACAGGAGCCTCCGCCAAGCGACGGAATATTCTTTGAATTTTTGACATATAGAGATTCATTGCTGAAACTCGCTCTCTGAAACGTAGACAGATATGAGGTAATTGGTTGGTACAATAAATCGTCACACCCGAATTTGGAGAAGCGATTTGTGTTTAATGATGTTAGAGAGGAAAATTATCGTCTCCGCAAGTTTACAAACTAATTTAGTATCTGACGGGTTACAAAAAACTTTGAACGAGAAAAAGACAAAATTAGCGCAATGTTTAATATCATTGGCACACGCAAAGGCACGTTTTGTTACAGTGGGTAATATTTAGATATTAAAACTCTAAGACTGCGGAACATGTCTGCTCCTCCTCTCCAATCTCGCCACATCTGCTCATGGAGTTAAAAAATGTTTGCAGAGAAGTCAGGTAAGATATTAAAAAATATTACTACTAAAACTGAAATGAAAAACGAAGTAACAAATTGAGGTATTAGTGTAAAAATTAAGTGCCACTCTCGCTAAGAGCGGTCCTCTCGACTTCCCGTCGGAAAAAAGTTTTCTTTTATTTTTTGCCCATGAAAAG